ACACCCCCCCCGTAAACACCAACAAAAAAACTCACCCGAGCTACCAATATTTCACCACACTGCCAGTAGTAAGCCTACTACGTGAGTTGGCTTGCAAGTAGTTTTGTTACGAAAAGTATTGGCAGAACTCCCGGCTCAGATTACGTCCGTGAACTTCAGAGTCATGTAAGCCAAACAATGGTAAGGCTGATACTTACTTCATTTCCATAGAATCCAATGATCCGACAATAACCAAATTCTTCAGATGGGACAACGATGCTAGTTTCAGTATATCCGTTACGAAATGATGCTTAAAAACACACAATATTAACAGTAGGTAAAAAAGCAAAAAACTAATCCCGTACGATTAGATTAGTAATTCGCGAAAGCCTGGCAGGCACCGAATAGATAACTTTTTCACTTTCAGTGTTTGTTGACAAAAGGCTGAATGAAGAAAACACATGACCTGGAAACGCGAAACAAATTTACTTACTGCTAACTGTGCATGTTGCAAGATCTTTACATCCTTATGCACAGAGTCCGCTTGATTCGTTCACACGTCACTTTATACCCAATATAATATGAAATATTCAGGAAAGATTGCTGTGTATAAGCGTTGCCTATTCCTAAGCCCGTAAGAGCACCAATAAGGTGCCCCTAACTGTTGACTTTGGGTGGATCCCACGATGTTAATCGTTGGTATTAGGTAGATGAGTGTGCAAAAGTTTGTAGCTTGCTGATTCTCTCGCTCACTGGAGACCCGTTTAACAATCAGGTCATAGCTTCCTTACGCAAACGATTTGTCTCCTATTTCCATTCTTATAGCAAGATAAATTGCTGTTTGGAGGGTGCTCATTTAGGAGAAGAATCATACTTTGTTTTTTGACTAAACAAACATGATTTATTTCAGGTTTTTGATGCCCTCGGAAATTTTCAACGTGTTATTAGCAGTGCATTCGAACCATTCAATGGACCACAGGGTTTGACGTTTCATACGCCTACGCAAAGACTCTTCGTGACCGATCCGGGTAACTACTGCGTCAAAGTATTCCAGCCTCAACTGAGTGATAAGAGCAAAAAACCCGAAGAAAAAGCTATGGAGAACGTAAACGAACAGTGTGGACTGAGTTCAGAAAACCTGTCACTGGCTCAATGACCGCCTGCTTAATCCTGCCCAGTGCATTTTTACCCCAGTTTCACGGCAGTAAGGACAGAATTTGTCGCATTTCCGACCACTTTCCATGTATAAAAGGACCATATGATCGCTTTATTTTGTTTCTCTTGAATAACAAAAGCATAGATATCCCGGTCAGTGTCCTACGCTTCCAGCCGAATAATCTTCCGAATTCCGAGATATTTCTGTACAGATGATGTCACCAGAGCATATGTGGTTCTCCTCCGACAAACATTATGTTCATTAAATTTTGTTTAATTTGACGTCGTGTCTTGCATTGTACATACTCAGGTTCTACTCTCCCCTTTTGTCAATATGGTGCCCAAATTCACCAGTCAATAGACTGGTACCTTTCGTTTGGATAGCTTGTAGGATATGTTGCCCGAGCAATTTGAATGCCTGTACTGTAATTATAATTGTTCATTCATATGGTAATGAAACGAAGAGCGCCCTTCAGTGAGAAGTTTATTGACCAATACAAGATAAGCGATTGCACGCTATTTGACATAAAGGTAAAAATCTGGGTTGCACATAATTTCCGGTAGATGAACTTTTTTAGGCATCTGCTTGAATTTCTCTGAACGTTCTTTTATATCAACCAATACTGAAAATGCACTGCTAAGGGACTTCATTATTTCCGTACTAACCTTTGATCAGATGTGAGGAAGGAGGTTTGAATCTTGACCAAACACCACCTGCGTATTTCATCAGTAGTGTACACCATTCACTGGGAATTTTAGGCCCTTCATACACAGATCAGTATAGTTTAGAGTGCAGAAAAGTCGTGGATTAAAAATTCACCAAAGCTTTGTGAGGATTTTCCACAATGCTTATGAAACATCTGTACAAGGCTACTCAGTTCTTTAACACAGGCGGGCTTTACTTACATGGTAAAATATCAATTGAAAATCACAAGAACTCCGTACTATCATCATTGAACAGATTGTCCAGCCTTGAACAGAGCAACTTTTTACACTGAAGTTATCTTCATATAAACTCCGATAAAATACGAGCACCAAAAGCTAATAAATATGGTTCAATCAAAATGAGCTGATCCGCGGAAACTTCTTCAGTACAAACTAAGTAGAATGAATTCATCTACCCGAGTCATTCTGAACAGAACGCTCGCCTGTGGAAACATTTGCCCAACAGTTCTCTAGACGGAAACGGTTCTGCTGTTTGTTATTTTGGCTTCTACAAAGGTGTAAAGGACAATAAAAACAGATGTTTGCTGGTTCACCACCATAAGTTACTTCAGTATTTTTATAGTACATAAGTACATATAAGGTAACGAGCATAAATATTTTTGTGTCCCGTCATCAAGTCAATGTATATATATATATATATATATATATAGTGGCTAAAATAGGTATGAATAGTGAAATAAACAGCTTATTTACTAGAATAAAAACGCGAAAACACGGTTGACCGCTCATCGGTGAAACCTAAGTCGCAACTAATTGGATGTTGTAAGGTGGTCTAGAGTGCAGTTGAGTTACTGAGTGGATCGTGTTTCACAACCAACGCAGACTCACAGGTCATACGAACATTGTTTGACAGCATAGCGCAGGAATTAATCTTTGTGTTGAGGACGGCTTGAATGTACTCAAGGAATTATGGCAGTCTATAAAGTATTTAGTAGATAAAGTGAGGCGATTAGTTTGAATTTACCACGCAGCCAATGTCGATAGTGTAACGCGACCGAGCTTTCGGCCGAGACACCAAGTTGTGAAGTTTTGGTAAGAGAGATGCTTTCTTCCAGCAGGTTGCCGTGCTGTTCGCCCAGCTTGACCTGTTGAGCAACAGCTGGAGCAATACACAACCATATCCGAGGTGAGGACTTCCAGGTTGAAATTGAGCAAGCTGCTGGTTGTATACCAAGAACATAGGGCTGAAGCCGGAAACGTGCGTTGTAGGGAGTCAAACCACCTGTTATAATTTGAGTATATGTCTCATCATAAATTTAATGCAATGGAATAAATACAGCCACCAAAGCTACCATCTAAAACTTGAGAAAATATGTTGGGGCGGCAGCGTTAGATCCTTTGGCTGGCTTACAGAAACAGTTCTAATGGGCAACCTAGAAAATCTCAAATACAAGATTCAAGCCCTTAACGGAACGCCGAGCAAATTGCTTCAGGGTTAAACTACTGTGCATGGTCCTCACAACAAATAAGAGTACAAGATTTCACAATATCTTGAGATTTCATCTCCTAGCACGTTAACCTACCTCACTCCAGACTATTCAGCTCTCCTAGCCTGCGCTGGTCCGTGGAGATGTAGTTCGCTACACTAAAAGAGATTACCTCGCAGAAGAGTTCATGTTTTTTGACTTAATGAGCCTGTGGTTTGTGTGGGAAAACTGTTTGTCAAAGAATGACGTCGATTTCAATTTGGAAGAATAATTGTTCTGTTCTAATCCATACAACATTTCCGTCAGAACCATAGGATAGCAACACTTGTGCGACTGAATGATGTTCAGTGCAAGTTATTTACGTCTGTGTCATGTTCAGTTTTCTTACACAGGATGTTAAAAAAAACCTATGTTCCATTCCGGGAAGCCCCCAACAGAATGGTTGTAGGATTTGTGCCGTAAGTGCTCAATGTTATTGTGAGGAAAAAGGAACTGATGGATAATACCGGGACCACGTGGTTTAATTCGATGCCAGCGCTCACTTTCAAGCCTGAGCCGACTGATGGCTGCCGATAAGTCTTTTAGTCTCATTCCCTTGAAGTTACATCGGATTCATCGGCTCGACCGCATTAGTACTTCCACGCAAAATTCTTGCTTTCCCTCCAGTATTTACCGGCGTCCAGTGATCCCACCATTGTTGACGGACGAACCCGTATCAAACGAGTGAACCGGGCATGTCACATGATAAAACTCACATTTCCCAAAAGTTCAAGCATTACCAATTGCTGAAAGTGCATCTTAGCGAGGAAGTCTCATGAACCGGCAGGAAAGCTAAGAGAAAATTCGTTTACCTGATAACCTCCGGTAAGGTGAAAAAACTGAGGGCATCTTCGGTCTCAATCGCTGTGCACTAACTGTAACGATAAGTCTTGGTTGTTAAAATTTCCAGTGCAGAAACTAGAAAACCGGTGAAAATGACTCTCTGACGCTCGGACTATTTCCCTTCGTTATCGCGAAAAGATTCAATCAGATGGACTAGCAGAAAGGAAACTTTGTGACTAATAATATAAACATGGTTTATTCTGTGGATTTCCATCAGAGGGTGAACATTTCGTCAAAAGCATCAGTGGTACCTGAGAAACCAAGTAATTGTGTTTTTTCGGTTGGGCCAGAGCAGATTTTCCCTCCACTTCATAATGGTTTGAAAGTTCCTGTTCATGGTCGGAATATTATCGCCATAGCATACTGTGAGTATGGACTTAGGAAAAACAGGCAATTTAAAACAGCACATTATTTTCATTTTCTGGTGTGTGTGTGTGTGTGCACGATGGACTAGCGAAAGGAAACTTTGTGACTAATAATATAAACATGGTTTATTCTGTGGATTTCCATCAGAGGGTGAACATTTCGTCAAAAGCATCAGTGGTACCTGAGAAACCAAGTAATTGTGTTTTTTCGGTTGGGCCAGAGCAGATTTTCCCTCCACTTCATAATGGTTTGAAAGTTCCTGTTCATGGTCGGAATATTATCGCCATAGCATACTGTGAGTATGGACTTAGGAAAAACAGGCAATTTAAAACAGCACATTATTTTCATTTTCTGGTGTGTGTGTGTGTGTGCACGTCAGTCAAAGTGCTCTCACTGCACAACAGTTTCAAGTTTTGGGCAGCCTGACAAAATTACTGTCCACAAAAGCCAATTGTTCATGGATAAGGTGGAGGAATTCTCAATTATTTGGTTGTTTCATAACCGCTGAGTGCTTGATTTTCGTAATATTGAAAGAATAACGCGAGTTCACTTATATCGGCTAAGCTGAGTCACACAATCAGTGAACAATTTATCACTGTAGTCAACATGGTCGAGATCCACGGTTGTCGACTAATCCTATTGAGTGTTTGTGGTGACTACGATCTCTCGGTAAGTACTATGTGTGCAAACAATCGCTGTTTCTAGACGTTCGCTAGCTGTGACCCGCACCTGTCGAACTGCCTTTTGAATAGTATTGCTGACGGTGAACTGAACAACGTTGCAAAAAACGACAACAGCGAGGCTGTCGTAGGATCGACGCAACGAGGAAAGCTTCAAAACCAAAATGGCAGTACGCACCTATAACCTAAATTTGGCTGCTATGACGAGTGGCACCAGTTCGCTATTGATTTAAAACCCGAGAAACTAATAATATATGCACAACTGAAACGAGTTGTCTTGTAAAAGTCGCGGCGCCCTACTTTTGATAATAATTTCTAGCAAATTGGTAAAAAAATATCATATTCTAACCCAAGATTCCGAACAAATTTCGGACTTCATGCGGTGGTGTTGTTTACAGGAAATAATGGAGACTCACAAACTGTTTACTCTTGAAATGGAGAAGATTGTGCGTTGAATTCTAGATATGGGAGAAAATACCGACTCTAATGTCCTAGAATCAGTTGTGTAGGCAGCATTTTTCTCGCTGAAATGATGACCAGCCAGAACGTTCAGGTTGTCACTTGTGATAAGCAACAGTAACTCCCTACTTTGGTTTCACAAATGAATGCCCACTAAACTGTGTGCACAGTTCGGTACTGAAAATACAAATTATTTTGAATTGTTCAGTCTTCCCCGATAACACGGCCGAGTGGAATGTGAAGACAACTGACTTTTGCCTGGCCCCATAGTGGCGCATATGTGATTATTTACAAACTACACCGTTTTTCCACCCCAAATGTTTAGTGCTGTAATTGATGTGCCTCGAAGCGGCTGTTTATCCGAACCGTGTAAATAAACAGCTTACACAAGGTACGATTGGGTCAGAGAAAGACGGTTTTTCATTTGAAACTTGTGTTCGTCGAGATGGTTATTTTTCCCTCTATGTGGACAGTAGACAATCCCAATTCTGTAGAATATCATTCTCCTCGGCCATATTCAGGTATTCATGCTGATAGACATCTAACTCCAAAATTATGCAGGTTGTGCGCCAGTAGTTTACAAATTATTTAAAAACCAACGATAGTGTATGAATATTTTGATGAAGATTCCGGCGAAACATCTATCGCAATGTGATGGGAGGCAAAAGAAGAAACACCTGGCTATCTAGTGTGCAATTACGGAAAATCAATTTGAATGATTTGACAATTAGAGTACGAAAATGTTACCTTCTCTATGCAAAACCCGCTCTGTTTCTCCTCGTTTTTATTAACCAGTCAGAGCTAATCAATATGATATATTTGACGTAAACGCCATCTAAAG